GTCAGAGATGCCCTGCCCAGCAAGGTGGTAGTCTAGCCACAGTCTGCCAGCAGAGGCATTGCTGAGCTGCTATGGGCTCTGTCCAGCTGCTGTGTGACCTTCCTGTTAGAACTGACTTGGTAATGATGGTCTGCCTCAGTAATGGTGGACTGCCTCAGTAATGGTAGACTGGTAATGGAGGACACTCTTCCCCGCACTGTGCTGGACTGTCCTGGGTCCAGCTGTGCTTACTGCAAAACTCTCAATCCAGAGCGTTTCACAGTGCTGGTCTTTGTGGGGGTGGGACCCACTGAGCCAGATCATCTGGCTCCCTGTTTCAGCCCCTTTTTTTCAGTTGAATGGGCAGCTCTGTCTCCCTGGCATTCCGGGCGCCTGTTGAAACGGCCACCTGGATTTGTACAAGTTTTTGTGCAGAGACCCTTGGCGCTGGCTGAAACAGCCATGCTGGAAACTCTTGGCGCTTTTTAGCCTGGGAATCTCCTGGTCTGTGGGCAGTAAAAACTCATTTGGAAATACAGTGATTCACTTATCCTCTGTGTTCTTTTCGCTGGGAACTGCACTCCAGAGCTGTTCCTATTTAGCCATCTTGGATCTCTCTGTAGCCCCTATTTCTCTGTATCTCTTCCCATTTCCTTTGCTTTTAAATAAGGAAGTGACTCTCCAAAAACCAAGCTTAGAACATGTCACACAATGTGGGTTGTATATTTTCTGGCCTGGCAACTGCTATGTATGGCCTTAGTGAGATCAAAATTAGGTACACATTAAAGCAGAGAAACCTGAAAACGAGCACTCTTCCCATCCCACACACACACTTAGAACTTTTCACATGGATGTCAAAATAATCCAAGAAATTGTCACCCATATATTGTTCCCTTCAAATAAAGGGTTCTACCCCAGTCAATTTTTTTTATCATTGTCAAAGTTGAAGTCAGGCTGCAGTGCCTCAAAATTCCATAATGCCTCATACTTTCTTAAGGAATCTCACATACATAATTTTATTTAAATAAGCAATTTATCTGAATATTGTAGCAAGATGAATATATAAAGATGTGAGACACATGAATTTTGTTGAAAGAAATTTGAAAGAAATAGTCGGTTAGCGGGTCCCCAAAGCAAATGGCACATTTTACATTCAAAAATCATTCCTGGAGTTTCCACTGCTTGTTGCCATTTTCCTATGCACTATTCCAAATGGATAATTTGTCTTTAAGCACTTCTAACCAGCCTCTTTGTATTTCCTTTCTTCTCACTTGTAATACTTTTTCTTTCTTCTCTCTATGAAAGTTCACTCTAAAAATATGACTAGATACAAATAATTTCATTCTTGACTATATATGTTAGCCATCACAGGAAAATTTTCATTTTCAGGGTAACCCCTGTCAATGGAGAATGACAAATTGTGAAGCCAATTAAAGGAATCCAGCTTCACTTGAATAGAAGTAGTAATAATGGTCAGAGGGTCTTCACAGATGACAAAGTCCTAATGCTTCTCCCTGCAGCTAAGACACTGCTTAAGAACACCAAAAGTGTTTCTGTGCTTTGGATCTCGAGCAAAAGGTGAAGGAACAGTCTATGCCTTTAAATTATTAGGATAATTACTACTGAAATGATCACTCATCACGTACTGGCCACTCTTCCAAGGGCTTTACCTGTTTTAACGCATTGATTGTTACAGAAAAGCCTATGAAGTAGGTACTATTGTTATCTCCATTTACAAGGAAGAAGCTGAGGCGCAGGAGGGTAACTTGTCTAGGATCTCACAGCTTGTAAGCTGCTGAGCTGCAATTCAAACCCAGGTGCTTTGACCCAGAGCCCTGGCTCTTGAAATTCCTTACAGGACTAATTGGGGATACTAGGTCCCATTCAGAAAACAGATTTACTCATTTACTAATTTATCTTCTTTAAGTCATAGAATATGGAGCACTCACGCTATGTACAACTGGTCTAGGACTGATCTATCTTCACATGAGATGGTTTCTACCACGGCAGGGCAAAGTAAGAAAAAAGCAATGAATGCAGTGTCAGAAGGCTTGGACTCAAGTCCAGCTTTGCCAATTACTAACAAACTCTTGTGCAAATCACTTAACCTCTTCGCACCCCAGGGTCCTCATCTGTAAAAATGCCTTTTGTTCTCCTTACTTGCAGTACAGTTCTATAGTCTGCCTTGCAAAGAAATGAAACCCATTTACCAAATTACTTTTCTAGGTAGTCAGTAAATTCAGGGCACAAGTAGGATCAGAACCCAGATTTCCAGAGCCAAAAGAGATAACACAAGATGGTACCGGTGAAAACAGGAAAAGGAAATGGTACAAGAAATATAGATATGAGAAGGCTGGGTACAGTGGCTCAAACCTGTAATCTCAGCACTTTGGGAGGCCGAGGCAGGTGGATCGCTTGAGGTCAGGAATTCAAAACCAGCCTGAGCAACATGGTGAAACCCCATGGTGTGCATGCCTGTAATCCCAGCTACTTAGGAGGCTGAGGCAGAAGAATTGCTTGAACCCAGGAGGCAGGGGTTGCAGTTAGCCTAAATTATGCCAGTACACTCCAGCCTAGGCAACAAGAGTGAAACTCTGTTTGAAAAAAGAAAAAGATAGAAGGAAGGAAGGAAGGAAGGAAGGAAGGAAGGAAGGAGAGAGAGAAAAAAGAGAAAGAGGAGAGAAAGAGAGAGAAGAGAGAAGGAAGGGAGGGAGGAAGGAAGGAAGGAAAGAAAGAAAAAGAAAGAGAGAGAGAGAAAGAAAGAAAAAGAAAAAGAAAAAGAAAGAAAGAAAGAAAAAGAAAGAAAGAAAGAGAGAGAGAGGGAGGGAGGGAGGGAAGAAGGAAAGAAGGAAAGAACAGAAGAAAGAAAGAAATGAGGTGGGTAGAGTCAGGGGGAAGCCAATCCTTCATCAGGAATACAAAAACTAGAAAAAAGCAAATGAAGTATCAGAAATAAGTAACAGCACTGAACATACAAAAAAATTTAAGAGAATGAACTATTCAATGCACATTATTTCCACTTCTATTGTAGAAGAACATTCACAGTTAGCTTAAATGAAACCCAGGACACAGTCACCTCTCCACTCCAGTACTTCCAAGGCTTTTCTATCTGCTTTGATCCAAACACTATCTGCATTTAACATGTACCATCTGAGGAGGTGCCTTTAATCACTCCCTGCTGGCCTGTGTATAAAGGCAAAAATCTTCAACTTGAGACCTTCTTGGACTTTTATCTGCCATTCTTAACCAGTTTATGATGTCTCCATATCCTGCTCTGTGTCTCAAGTCTGCTTAGCTATCTCTGTTAGATTGGTCCAATCCTAACCATGCCCGTGAACTTATACTTTTGGTTTCCTTGAGGCCCATGCCTCATGGTCTTGAGGGCAAGGGTATCTCTCCCTCTTTACCCCTTAGCACAGCTTTAGGACTATACTGTTTAGGTTAAAATCCCAGCTCTTCCACTTAGCACAGTAATGTTACATAGTTATGTAATCTTTGTGTGCCTTCATTTCTAATCCCTAAAGTTAGTCAACGCCTGAGAGATATATTGCCATTTTGAATATAGTGACTGGTATATAGCAGGGACTATATAAGTAATTGCTGCTTTTATTATGTGCTGCTGACCTTCATTATCCAGGAATAGAATCCCAATACACCCTGCCTTCTACTGGCAATGAACCTTTTGCAATATATTGTTCCTACTTGATTAAAGGTTCTCTAAAGGGAAGACTATCATCATCACCATCTTTGTGTTCCCTGTAGTACATAAAACATGACACGCATTCAGTAAATAGTGGATTCAAATGTAATTATCTAAAGATACAAATCCAACCTGTGTCTCTGCCTGAAAATCCAAGAATATTATTTGTAGCCACCAATAATGAATGACAGCTTGATCTTTACTTTCCAATAAACACAACAATTAAAGTAGACAAAATCATAATTAGGAACAAAATTGGCTTTCCACCATTAGAACATATACGAAAGAGAGAAAAATATGAAAAGTATAAAAATTGAATAAAAGAATAAATTGATACCAAACATTCCATTGAAAATCAAACTTAAATGGCAGTAGGGAATGTGAAAAGTAAAGAAAACAAATTTTAATGCTCTCAGATACTAAACAAGGGAAAAAGATGGATCTATGAAATGTCGATCCATCCCTGAGAGGAAAAATGAGAGGTATGATTTCAGGATTCTAACATAAACTGAAAAAAATATGATTTTGTTCTTCCCTTTGCCTGAACTGCCCCAGAATCTTTAGGACTTACTCTGGGGCTACCTTCAGGTATCTGCTCAAGTGATGCCTCATTAGAAAGGCTGCCTTGGTCACCCAATTTAAAGTAGTGCCTACGGCCATCATCACTGTTGACTCCCTTTCCCTGAGGCATCTGTCTCCATGGAACTTGTCACCTGCCATAGTATGTTTCTATTGGTTACATTCTTTCTCTCCCCACAACTGTAAAGTATAACTGTCATGAAAAGAGCTTGTTCACTGCCATGTCCTGTGCTTGAGAGATTAACTAGAAAATCATGGGTGATCAATAAAAGCCTGTCCAATGAGTGAATCACTTATTAATACAAATATTAACAGATATATATGGGAAGTGTTTAAAATGGTGCCTGACACATAATGGGCCCAGTTAGCTATTTTTAATAGGAATAGGAGTAGTAGCATTCCTTCCTTGATTCTTTTTGATTGATTGGTAACAGAAGTCTTCTGCCTTGGGTGACTAGAGAAAAGTAGGAAGCCTTAGATAAGTAAGGAGCTGGGAGGCAGCTTTGAATTCAGGAGTGGAAATACTTACTTTATTTAGGGACAACCGCAATTTACTAATCTGCTCTGTAGTACAACATGGTAAAAGAGCAGCTTTAGTGGAATTGACAACATAACAACGTGGGAGAGAAAACAAGGCTAGAATCAGAACGTTGTGGATGAAGACACTGCATGGAAGCCCAGGGCCAGTGCGCAGAATGTCAGTGAGCAGAAGGTGCCGCCATGATTTACTCCACTTTCTTACCTAGATCAGCCTTCGCTTGGGCAGGCCCCAGACGTTGAGATGTCAGAAACGTGATGCCACCAGGCCTGTGAAAAAAAAAAAATCAAGGCTTACCTGAAGTAATTTTCACCTCAGGTGTGTATGTGTTGCTGTGTTTCTTTTATATATTAGGTGGCTAATTTGAAGGGACTTTCAGAAATTGGGGTCGTGATACTGACCCTTTAAAATCTTCTGGAGTAAGTCTAAGGAATAGACAATCTTACCTCTTCCATGAGATAACCCTCGTCTCTCACCTAAACTACTCCATAGCATAGGGTAACCAACCATGCTGGTTTGCCTATGATTGAAGAGTTTCCAGGATGCAAACATTTCAATACTGAAACCAGCAAAGTCACAGGCAAGCCAGTACCAGTTAGCCATCCTGTATCTTTGTAAGCCTGCGTATGCTCATCTACTTGGTGTTCCCACTGCAATGAGAGCAATCATTTAAAACAAATCTGGTCACATCATGCCTCAGCTAGTCACATACAGCCGTATCTTTTCAGAGGCTCTCCTGCTGCCTTTATTTTTTCCCCAAGACAGAGTCTTGCCCTGGTTGCCCAGGCTGAAGTGGCAAACTTCAGCCTGGGCAACCCTGATTATATTCTGGAAACTCTTCAATCATAGGCAAATCAGCATGGTTGGTTACCCTATGCTATATAGCAGTTTAGCTGAGAGATTAGGGTTACCTCATGGAAGAGGCAAGATCATCGGTTCCCTAGACTTACTCCAGAAGATCTTAAAGGGTCAGCATTGTGATCCCCAATTTCTGGGGCTCACAATGTGGCATGATATCGGCTCACTGCAACCTCCACCTCCAGGATTCCAGCGATTCTCCTGCCTCAGCCATCTGAGTAGCTAGGATTACAGGCAAGTGCCATCACGCTTAGCTAATTTTTGTATTTTTAGTAGAGAAGGGGCTTCCCCATGATGTCCAGGTTGGTCTTGAGCTCCTGGCCTTAGGTGATCCACCAGCCTTGGCCTCTCAAAGTGCTGGGATTACAGGTATGGGCCAGTGTGCCCAGCCTCTCCTGCTCTTAAGACAGATTTTAGCTCTTATCATGGCCTGAAAGGCCCTGTGTGGTCAGGCCCCTGATGACTTTTCCAGCTTAATTTTTGCACCACACCCCAGCCAGTTCCCTTTTGGGGGCTCACATGCGGGCCTCTTCCTTCTGCTGTAAGGGCTCCTTGCATGATGTTCCCCCTGCATGGAATATGATACCTACCTCTCTTTCACATAGTTTTGCTTCTAACATATTTTTTTCAGATCGTTTTACTCCTAAACTGTTTTCATATAGTAGTTCCATAACTGTCACTTTTTCTGAGATGTCTCTCCTGCTTCTGAGAAGACAAATCCCCTTTTATGCTCTTTTGAAGCTGTAGGCACTGCTGTTGGTGCCCACCATGTACTCTTGATATCACCTCCACACACCAAAAGCTGCTCGCTGCAAACACCTGTGACTTTCTGCCCAAAGGCCTTTCTATGCACATGGAAGCACCTTCCCCCGTACACAGGTTGTTATCAGATGAGATTAGAGCAACAGGAAGGAGCCAGATCAGGGAGACTTTCAAGGCCATGATATAGAGTCCAAATTTTATTCTAAGTTCAATGGAAAGCTATTGGAGAGTTTTACACTGGGGAGAGACAAGATCTGATTCTATTCTTTTTTTTTTTTTTTTTTCTTTTTTTGAGACAGACTTTTGCTCTTGCTGCCCAGGCTGGAGTGCAATCTCAGCTCACTGCCTCCCAGGTTCAAGTGATTCTCCTGCCTCACCCTCCTAAGTAGCTGGGCTTACAGGCACCTGCCACCATACCTGGCTAATTTTTTGAATTTTTGGTAGAGAAAGGCTACCAGCATGTTTACCAGGCTGGTCTGGAACTCCTGACTTCAGGTGATCTATCTGCCTCGGTCTCCCAAAGTGCTGGGATTACAGGTGTGAGCCACTTCGCCCAGCCCCTGATTATATTCTTAAAAGGTCACTCAGACTGCTATATGGAAAATAGACTGTGAAAGGGCAGATCTGGAAGCAGAGGGAGGCCAGTTGGGAGGTTAGTGTAGTAGCCAAGATTATTTTTCTAGACAGGATCATTGGAAGCAAAGCTGAAAGCATAATAAAAAAGTGGCTTTTTTTTAACAGCAGCTGGAGACTTCAAGTCTAGGGTTATCTGCAGAAAGCAACTTACCTGAGAAGGCCCTGTGAAGTCTGGCTCATTTAAGTGGGTTCTTAGAAAGGGGTGAAAATCTTACTCTTTTCATGCATAAAGCAGGGATAATGAAAAAAAAAAAAAAGTTTGAGAAACACTGTTCTAGAATCTCAGACAGGCTGTAGGCTCGATTTTAGCACCCACCATTGCTCTTAAGCTGGCCTGGAATGGCCCCTGGCCTCCTTGACTAATAGCCCTAAACCTGCCCTATCACCTCACATTTCTTCGGCTCTGTACAGACACTGACTAATTCACCTACTCGGTGGGAAGATGGTCCATTAAGATAAGATGATCTATTTTCAAGTCAGCCTCTCTAAACACAGATACTCCTGTTTAGGCACCCTCGAAGTGTACAAGTGAAGGAAGGAAGTGTTAGGAGTTACATAGGGTAATGCAGATATCATGCATCTCAGCGGGATCTCTCATTCCAGGTTCATGCTTCTCTTCCTGCCTAGGCACCATCTACCTCTCACTGAATGAATTCCTATGTTTTCAACAGAGCCTAACCACAAATGTCACCTACCCTAGAAATCCAGGAGGAAAAAATTACTCATTTTTTTTTTGAGCATCCAAAGCACTCTGAAAAAAATACTATTAACAGCTACTATTTCTTGAGCACTTGTGGCAGGCATTATGATAAACATTTTACCTAATTATTTCATTTAATCCCCCCATTGCTAACTCCTTTTTACAAATGGGAAACTGGGGCTTACAGCAGTGAAGGGGCTTGCTCGATGTCAGATAACTAATAAATGATACAATGAAGATTCAATACCAAGCAGCCTCTTCCCCTGTAGACTTTAAATACACTGTCCTATGACTTACACCACTGTATTATAATCGGCAGTTCACGTGCCTCTTTCCTCTATTACTTTCACCATAAATGACCCAGGCCTGCTGTCATGAAAAAAGAATGACTTTTACAACCAAACACTGTTGTGACTTTAGTATATTACTGAGACTCAGTTTCCTCATTTATAAAATGGAGAAAATAACTGCCTACCTAATAAATTGTTGTCAAGATAAAATTAGATATAACTTTTAATGCACTTACCATAGTAAAAGCACATAAAGGCCCATTCAATTAAGCAAGTATTATTTGAGGACCTGTGGAATGCCAATCCTTATGATGGACACTGAGGATAAAGAAATACTAAAATGTCTCTCATGGAGCTAACGCATGAGAAATTTATTATATATATTAGTTTCTTTTTATTGCTTGAAATTCAAGAAAAACTAATGTATTGTTTTTGTTATACACAGCATCTCTATTCATTTTCATAAAAGCATTTCTACCTAAATATCCATCCAAGTAGATTCATAGACAGTTGTCTGAAATGATACTACCTAAAGTTAACAATCAGAATGATAGTATTTATTTTTAAAATGTATCTTTGTAACGTAATGCCTTATATGAATTCTTGTAATCACAGATATCATTTTTAAAAGGATATTTCCTACATTTTCTAAGGAACAAATATGCCAAGATGTAGTTAATTCTTCCTGGTAGGAATATAGATTGTTGTTTTCTTCTTTATACTTTTGGTATTTTTTACCTTTCAAAAATGATTTTTTAAAATTTTATATCAGACTCTACATTCATAAGTAAATTTCTTTCCTTTTAATTTAGATTTTTTTTTTTTTTTTTTTCTGAGACCAAGTCTCACTCTTTCACTCAGGCTGGAATGCAGTGGCAACAGTCTCAATTCACTGCAACCTCCGCCTCCCGAGTTCAAGCAATTCTTGTACTTCAGCCTCCCAAATGGCAGGGATTACACCACTACACCAAGCTAATTTTCATATTTTTAGTAGAGACAAGGTTTTACCATGTTGGCCAGGCTGGTCTTGAACTCCTGGCCTCAAGTGATCCGCCCACTTCGGCCTCCCAAAATGCTGGGATTAACGGTGACAACTACTGCACCCAGCCATAATTTAGACCTGTAAAGAGTTGTTCTTTTACATATGTTGTAAATCATATCCTTAAAATTACCTGAGACCACTTTACAAAGCGGAGAAGACTGTATTCTTTTGAATGCTCTTTATAAATGTAATCCACTTAAGTAAACAAAGAGCTAATGAATATGCTATGCTATACTTATACTGTTAAACGTTTATACATGAAGAATGAGAGATTATGGAAGGCTTCATATCAGACTATGTCTAATGGGGTCATTAAGATCAGGATTTTCAAACTAAGTGGATTTCCTTGTCCTTCTTGTCTAAAGCATAATTATTGAATGTTAGCATCGGCTTGCTGTGGTAAGTGACAAACTAGAATAATCCTGTTCTCACCCCTGAGTTAAGAATAATAATTTAAAATATACAACAGTTTCATAGCCGTAATGTTTAGGAGGTTGTAGATAGAAATACCTGAGCTACCTGTTTTGGTGCTGTGGCAATACTTTTTTCATTTATTTGGGAAAAGTTTGGGAGAAAAGTTAGTACTCCTATCGATTCCTTAAAATAATTCAAGGAATCTACTGTTTCCTATAGAAATTCAGTATTCTCTGGGTTTTGTATTATTAATATTACAGAAGGTGTTTTCTATTTGAGTGAAATACTGGCTGTAAAAATTTTAATGACTGTTATTTCCAATTTAGAGAACAGAAAGTAAATTTTTGTTCCCTTTACTTTTTAGAAATGTCTTCTTTCAATGCATATTTGTAGTCACTTTTTTTTTTTTTAAATAAAGTAAGAGGTTTTTTTCTTTTTTTCTTTTTATTTTTTTGAGACAGAGTTTCACTCTTGTTGCCCAGGCTGGAGTGCAGTGTTGTGATCTTGGCTCACTGCAACCTCTGCCTCCTGTGTTCAAATGGTTCTCCTGCCTCAGCCTCCCAGGTA